GCTGAAATTAACAATGTGGTGCACTTCCTCCCTAGGGAGGGGCCTCCTGGGGTCTTATCTGTAGACAGCAGACAGTCCACACTTCCTCCCAGTCTCCCCACTTACCTTGTGGTACAAGAAGCCACAGTGGGCTGGAAAACCAACTCAAAGTTATTAGACACTCCTTCTTCGGACATAGGAAACACTGGGTATAATAAACTGATGTTACTAACAATCTTCTAAACTTGCTTAGGAGATACTATGTTATACAAAGTAGAATTTAGCTAAAAAAGCACTGCCTCCAGTATAATTCAAGATTGAGTAGTACTAAACAGGCTTGTTAGAAACTGGAAGAGATTTAGGGATGACAGAGAATGTGGAATGTATAAAAGCCTAAGACCTATATAAATAAAATTTTTGTTGGAGGCCAGAACCAGTCGAGTGCTGTTATTAAAAAGGTTAAGGTTTTCCTTTATTAATCTCTAAGCAGTCAGAGTGATTTCTTACCGGAAGGGCATATTATATTAATTCTATAACATTTTCCTGAAGGCATTCATCCTAATTAAAAAAAAAAAAAAAAAAAAAAAAAGCCGGGCGGTGGTGGCGCACGCCTTTAATCCCAGCACTTGGGAGGCAGAGGCAGGCGAATTTCTGAGTTCGAGGCCAGTCTGGTCTACAGAGTTAGTTCCAGGACAGCCAGAGCTACATAGAGAAACCCTGTCTCGAAAAACGAAAAAAAAAAAAAAAAAAAAAAAAGAACTTCAGAGAAGAAGTGAGAGGGTTGAGCAAGTACAATTATTTCCTACCAAGGTTTCTGGGACCCATATGATGAAAGGAGAGAACCACATCCCAAAAGCTGTTCTCTTACCTTCCACTGGTGTCCCACATGTGTAAACACACACACAATATTTAAAAGATGATAAACATAAGAGAAGTCAGGTGTGTAGTCCACATCTGTAATCTCAGGACTTGGGGAGTTGAGGTAGAAAGATTACAAATTCAAGGTGGTTCTCTCCTTTAATCATGTGAGTCCCAAGGGTCATAGCAATTGGGATAGCCTGTGCTACACAAGACAAAAGCATCACAAATTCCAGGCCAGGCTAATCTGGCCTAAAAACAAGCAATTAACAAAACAAAAAACAAAAACAAACCCCAGACTGAAAAGATGGCTCTTCCAGAGGACCCCAGTTCAGTTCCCAGCACCCACATGGTAGCTCACCTGTAACTCCAGCCCTAGGGAATCTGATGCTTTCACCTGGACTCTAGAGGTCCCAGGCACAGACATGGTGCACAGATACACATTTGGATAAAACTCTAATACACATAAAACAAATTAAAGAACAGACAGGAACCTGTGGAGGAGACATGGCAGCAAACACACAAGAAATGCAATCAAAAGCAGGCAACTTAGAATGCACCAAACTTAGAAATGTTTGAACATCAGAAGACATGACCAAAGGACACCACAAAAAGAAGACCTAAGGAGCGAGAAAAGTATAAGTAAATCTCAAATCCAATAAAGGTTCACTGTCGAGAATCTATACACAACTAACTACTCCAGCAAATGACAACCTGATTCAAAGAATCACGGCCCAAGACCTGAACAGACATTTCTCTCTAAATAAGATATACAAACAGCAAATAAGCACAGATATTCAAAATCGATGATCAAACCCATAAGACACTTACCTATTAGGGGTGGGCATAGCTTAAAAAAAAAAAGGAAGAAAGGAAGCAAGGGAGGGATGAGAGAATATAAGTTGACAAAGACGTGGAGAAAAACTGGAACCCTCACGAATCTCTGGTGGGATGATAAAATGGTGCAGCTGCTGAGGCAAACAGTTTGGTTCTCAAAAAAAAAAAAGAAAAAAAAATCAAATCAAATGGAAAGCATAGCATGCCTAGATCCCAGTACTTGGGTGGCCGAGGCAGGAATGTCGTGAGTCGGAAGCTTGCCTGGCCTACAATAGCAAGTTTAAGGCCAACTTGGACTCCATATCCTCACCCCCTTTAAAAGACAACAACAACAAAAACCCACCAACCCAGAATTAGTGTATAAACACAGCAACTGCATTCCTGGGTATGTATCCAAAAGAACTAAAGCCACGCACAAGCAATAGTCAAAAGGTGTCCATCACTGGATAAACGGGTAATGACATGAGAGTCTGAGTCAGTGGGGGTGAAAGCTGGTGGCAGAGCACAAGTTTAGCATAAATTCAATCCCCAGTGACAAAAATCCAGAAAACGTACATGGGGTATCCACACAGTGTGCTGTCTTACTTAGGGTTTTACTGCTGTGAACAGAAACCATGACCACGGAAACTCTTATAAGGATGACATTTATTTAATAGGAGCTGGGTGCTTACAGGTTCAGAGGTTCAGTCCTTTATCATCAAGGGAGGGGCATGGCAGCATCCAGGCAACATGGAGCTGGAAGAGCTGAGAGTTCCACTTCTTGTTCGGAAGGCAGCTAGCCGAAGACTGATTTCCAGGCAGTTAGGATGAGGATATTAAAGCCCAGGCCCACCATGACACACCTATTGCAACAAGGTAACACCTCCTAATAGTGTCACTTCCTGGACCAAACATACACAAACCATCACTTGTGCTATACTCGGCCTTAAGAAGACAACAAAATCCTGATGCTTGATGCAATATTAATAAACACTGAAAATCTGTGTCTACTAAGTTTGCAATATGGGTTAGAGATAGCTCTTGCCACGCAAGCCCAGTGACCAGAGTTTGATTACTGGATCCCACATAAAGGTGGAGGAAGAGAACTGATTCCAGAGAGTTGTTCTCTGACCTCCTTAACCCCATCATTATAATGAGAAAGAGAGAGAGACTGATTGAGATTGTCTCATACTAAGCAAAGCAGGGCAAACGCAACAGGACATATACCATTTACATGAAGTATCTTGAGCAAGGAAATCCGGGGAAAGCAAGTTGGAGCTGCAGTGAAGGACACGGTGAGTTATTGCCTAATAGGTGTAGTGTTTCTGCAGAAGTTGGTAAAGGCTTTGAAAACAGCAACGAGGATTACACAACCCTGCATAAGCAGTATAACTGAAAACGAGTTAAGTGGCAATGTTTGTGCTTTACACAGTCTGATACACACGGAATGTGACAGAGAGAAAAAGAGAAGCTATGGCGAACCATCACCCTCTTTTTTTCTTTTTCCAAAATGTGATTATTTTATTTAATGCATTTGAGTGTCTTGCCTGCATGCAGGTGTGTACCCCACACTTGTCCAGTGCCCTTAAGTAAGAAGAGGGTATACACAACCCCCTGGACTTCGAGTCATAGATGGCTGTTAGCCACCCTGTGGGTGCTGGAAACCAGACCCAGGTTCTCCGCAAGAGCAACAGGGGGTCGTCACTATCGAGCCATCTCTTCAGTCCCCTACTGTGGATTCTTAAGCTTATTCTCCGCCTATATGGTAGCTGGGTATCTTTCGGAATAATAGTTACAGGTTTGAAACAGAGACAGAGGCTGGTACCTACAAAGAGGCTCAGCCAGACAGCCCTCACCTCCTCCATTTTATCTGCAAAACACTAATAGTTACACTTAGGAAGTACAACTGGCTTTGAAGTCCTGAATGATTTCTTTCTTTTTTTTTTTTAATTTTATTCTTTTTTTTTTTTGGTTTTTTTGTTTGTTTGTTTGTTTGTTTGTTTGTTTTTCAAGACAGGGTTTCTCTGTGTAGCCCTGGCTGTCCTGGAACTCACTCTATAGACCAGGCTAGCCTTGAACTCAGAAATCCACCTGCTGCTACCTCCCAAGTGCTGGGATTAAAGTCATACACCACCACTGCCCAGATCCTGAATGATTTCTTACACCAGATGCTGGGAGTTTGTAGATCAGTCACTGAACTTCTGATAGCTTCTCGATTCACCAAGTACCACAGTACCAGACCTGGGGAGATGAGCCTCTTCACGCCTCCGGTAGCAGGCACACTTTGTGTGGCTTTTCTAGCCAGTTCTTTTCTACATGCCTCACTGCTGTGGGCAATCTGCTATGTGCAAGCCACAGGAGTGCAGCCTCCTTACTTAGCCTACCCTTTTTCCCTGACTGGAGAGTGGTGGCCACAGGCTGGCTGGCAGTAGTGGCAGCAGTGTGGTGTGGCTGTAAAAACACACTCCCTACAGTCGTCTAACAGCAGGAGCCTGGCCAGAACAAGCCATGTCTTGCAGTGCCTAGCACCATGAGAGGAAGATCCTGTCACACACAGGTAATTTGGGAAGTGACATAAATTCAAAATCTGAAATACAATTAAAAATTCCAATCGATACTTTCACATCACTGAAAAGTCTTTTAAAACCTAGGAGCTGGGGAACTGGGTCAGTGGGTAAAACATGTGTCATGCGAACCTAATGCTCTGAATTTGATCCTTAGAACCCAAGGTAAAAAGTCAGGTGTGGAAGCGTGTACTTACAATCCAGCACGCCTAGAGTGAGCTGGAGGCAGAGAGTAGTTAGCAGAAGCTGCTGTCTATAAAGACTTATTTTGCGGTGTGGTGTGTAAGTGTGTGTGCACAAGCACCGTTACAGTGTGCCACAGTGGACACATGGAGGTTAGAAGCTGTTTAGTTCTGCGTTCACCAGGCTGCAGGCTCATGACCTTCTGAGGCCTCTCCTGTTCTCACCTCACTGTAGAAGCACTGGGGTAACAGCTGAGCCTGGGCTTTAGAAGGTTTTCTTAGGATCTGAACTCAGAGCCTCACACACTTTGCCAACTCAGCCATTTCTCCCACCCAATTTCTGTTAAAAATCAGGTAATTCACAACACCCAGAATGTATCAGAAAGCAGTCAGCAGCTGGAGTGTGGCTCAGCGGTAGAGGATAGGACAGAACACATTAGCGCCAAGCTTCATGCTCAGCACCACGCAAGAAGATTATACAGGAAGGCCTTTCCAAAGCCACTCTCACATGCCTCTCACCTCAGCAACCACCTCTAATCACGTGAGAAGGAGGAAGAGGAGGAGGAGGAGGAGGAGGAGGAGGAGGAGGAGGAGGAAGGACAGCAGCTGTAGTGGGACAGGCCTGTAATCACAGCTACTCAGGAGAATTACAAATTCAAAAGGTTTGCCTGGATTTCAGAATGAGTCCACAGCCAGTTTAACAAGACCCTGACTCAGCATGAGAGGATTGTGGTGAATGCTTAACTGCCTTGAGGATCTAAATTTGATCATCAGTACCACAGAAAATAAAGGTAAAAAGTCTGAGTGTAAAAGAGCTATCATCAGCCAGACAGTGGTGGCGCAGGCCTTTAATCCCAGCACATGGGGGGACTGGGGGGGAAGCTAGGCAGAGACAGGAGGATCTCTGTGAGTTCCAGGCCAGCCTGGTCTACAGAGCAAGTTCCAGGACAGCCAGAACTACACAGAGAAACCCTGTCTTGAAAAGCAAAGAACCAAACAAAACCAACCAAACAAAACCAACCAAACAAAACAGAGCTATCATCTGTTCTGAGGGTCTCTCCTTCCTCTACTGCTCCACTGGTCTTAGTCATGTGATCTTAGGTGAAATAAGCTAACCTTTCCTGGCTTGAGCTGCCACCCAAACATTAACAGTAAAACCTCCCATGCTAAGCTGGCTGATCTGCTGGCTGTCACTGTCATCTAGATCAGAGAAGACAAGCTGGTCTGGTGATACTTTCCCCC